CAGTCTGATGGCCATTCTTGTGTTTTCCATATTTGCTGGCATATGGCATGCATCACCTTGACAGCATCATCTTTTAAGATTTTAAACAGTTCAGCTGGGATCCCGTCGTCTCCTGCTGCCTTGTTGTTAGCAATGCTTCTTAAGGCCCATTCAACCTCACTCCTCAGGATGTCTGGTTCTAATTCATTCACCACACCATCAAAACTATCCTCAATATTATTATCCTTCCTATACAGATCTTCTGTATAGTCTCGCCACCTTCTCTTGATCTCTTCAGCTTCTGTTAGGTCCCTGCCATCTTTGTTTCTTATCATACCAATTTTTGCCTGAAATTTACCTCCAATGTTTCTAATTTCCTGGAAGAGGTCTCTTGTCCTTCCTATTCTGTTGTCTTCTTCCACTTCCATGCATTGCTTATTTAAAAATAGTTCCTTATCTCTTTTGGCTAACCTCTGGAATTGCGCATTTAACTGGGCATATCTCCCCTTTTCACTGTTTCCTTTTGCTTTCCTCCTTTCTTGGGCTACTTCCAGTGTCTCAGCAGACAACCATTTTGCCTTCTTGGTTTTCTTTTTCTTTGGGACGTACTTTGTTGCCGCCTCCTGAACAATGTCTCGGACTTCTGTCCATAGTTCTTCTGGGACTCTGTTTACTAAATCTAGTCCTTCAAATCTGTTCTTCACTTCCACTGTATATTCGCTAGGAATGTTAGTGAGATCATATCTAACTGGTCTGTGTATTTTCCCTGATCTCTTTAGTTTTATTCTAAATTGAGCAATAAGACGTTCGTGATCTGAGCTAGTCAGCCCCAAGTCTTGTTTTCACTGACTAGATGGATGTTTACTATCTTTGACTGCAAAGTAATTGATCTGATTTTGGTGTTAACCATCTGGTGAAGTTCATGTATAAAGCCATATTTTAGGTTGTTGGAAGAGAGCATTCGTTATACACAGCGAGTTTTCCTGGCAAAATTCTATCAGCCTGCGTCCCGCTTCATTTTGTTCTCCCAGACCATGCTTGCCTGTGATCCCAGTTGTCATTTGACTTCCCACCTTGGCATTCCAGTCTCCTTTAATGAAAATAATGTCTCTTTTTGGTGTATTATCCAGTAGGTCCTGCAGATCCTCATAGAACTGATCTACTTCTGCTTCTTCAGCAGCTGGGGTTGGGGCGTATATTTGGATCACTGTAATGTTGAAAGGCTTTCCTTGCACTCGAATTGAGATCATTCTGTCATTTTTTGGGTTGTATCCAAGCACCGCTTTAGCGAATTTCTTTTTAATTATGAAGGCTACTCCATTTCTTCGATGTTCCTCTTGTCCGCAGTAGTAGATCTGGTGGTCATCTGATGTGAAGTGGCCCATTCCAGTCCATTTCAGTTCGCTGACCCCCAGAATGTCTATCTTTAGTCTTGACATCTCACCAATAACAACATCCAATTTGCCCTGGCTCATAGATCTTACATTCCAGGTTCCTATGGTGTGTTGATCTTTAGAGCATCGGATTCGTCGTTCACCTCCAGTACCGTCGGCCGCTAGCCTTCCTTTCGGCTTTGAGCTAGCTGCGTCATCACATCTGGGGCTAGTTGAACTTATCCTCTGCTCCTCCCCAGTAGCATTTTGGCCATCTTCCGACCTGGGAGTCCCATCTTCCAATGGCATACCGACATATCTCTGGTTGTACTGGTCTATTTAGTTTTCTTGGCAAGGATACTGGAGTGGTTTGCCATTGCCTTCCCCAGGGATCACGCTTGGTCTGACCTCTCTGCCACAACCGTCCCGTCTTGGGTGTCCCTTCACGGTTTCGCTCATGACATCATTGAGGTGCTCAAGCTCCAGCGCCCCGACAAGGCGGTGATCCTTTGCTGGAGTTTGAGAGATTTAGGCTTCCCTAAATTGCAAATCCCAAGTCTTCATAGGATTGCCATGGCAGTTAAGGTGAAATCAGTGTGCTATAGTTCTGTAGTGTGGAAGGGTCATGCATTTAGCGGAAGCCAAAGCCGAGTGTTCTCTCCACTAAGCTCTCCCTACTCTCCTTTAAAGGAGCCCCCGGTAGCGCAGTGGGTTAAACTGCTGAGCTGCTGAACTTGCTGATCGAAAGATCGCAGGTTCAAATCTGGGGAGCAGCATGAGCTCCCACTGTCAGCCCCAGCTTCTGCCAACCTAGCAGTTCGAAAACATGCAAATGTGAGTAGATCAATAGGTACCGCTCTGGCGGGAAGTTAACCGAGTTCCGTGCAATCATGCAGGCCACATGACCTTGGAGGTGTCTATGGACAATGCTGGCTCTTCCGCTTAGAAATGGAGATGAGCACCAACCCTGAGAGTCAGACATGACTAGACTTAATGTCAGGGGAAAACCTTTATATTTACCTACTCCCCTTTAATGTAAAAAGCTCAGGTCCAGGATATCTAGGGGCAAAAATACTGTTATTTATTGAGCCAAAATTTGCAAAAATAATGACAATCCTATTCCTCGAGCATTCCCACATTCCCTCCGCACATAGAGAGACACTTTTGGTTCTGATGCCACTTATCATTATGCAGGAGGAAGGCTTGGCAATTCGGAACCACTCCAGTTTCTGTCAATTAAGGAACCAGATGGCATCAATGGCATCAATTTTGCATGGCAGCTTATTCAACAGCTTTCCTAATTAAACATCTTCCAATCTCATTGACCCTCCTGTTCAGATGGAGAGTAATAAAGATATCATATAGGTATCACGGGGTGCTTGTTTGTTTGTGTTTGTTATATACTAGCTTGGGTGCCCGGCGTTGCCCGGGTTATTTGAAAAAGTCAGTATTTAATAGTACAAAATGCATAAGGTTGCGGGTGAACTACAACTCCTATCATGCCAGGTTAACCCCGAAAAACTCCCATCAGTACTCAAAATTTGTCTGGCTATGGAACTATTTATACTGTTTTATATTGTTGTTGTTATTATTACTGTTCTGTCACGCGCTGGGCCTGTGACAATTGACTTTGAATAGGACGTGCACTTTGTGCCCAGCGGGAAGCCAGGGCGCCTCGAAGAGAGGTCCTCAAGGGTTTTCCTGTAGAAATGGTCTTAGAGTCTTTAATTATTTAATAAAGTCCTTTATGTATTGTCGAAGGCTTTCATAGCTGGAATCACTAGATTCTTGTGGGTTTTTTCGGGCTATAGGGCCATGTTCTATAGAGGCATTTCTCCTGACGTTTTGCCTGCATCTATGGCAAGCATCCTCAGAGGTAGTATTAGGACAATGGGTTTATATATCTGTGCAATGGCTGGGGTGGGGCAAAGAGCTCTTCTCTGCTGGAGCTAGGTGTGAATGTTTCAACTGACCACCTTCATTAGCATTTGAAGGCCTGGCTGAGCCTGGGAAAATCTTTTGTTGAGAGATGTTAAGCTGTGCCTGGTTGTTTCCTCTCTGCTGTTTTGCTGTTGTAATTTTAGAGTTTTTTAATACTGGTAGCCAGATTTTGTTCATTTTCATGGTCTCCTTTCTGTTGAAATTGTCCACATGCTTGTGGATTTCAATGGCTTCTCTGTGTAGTCTGACATGGTGGTTGTTGGTGTGGTCCAGCATTTCTGTGGTCTCAAATAATATGCTGTGTCCAGGCTGGTTCATCAGGTGCTCTGCTATGGCTGACTTCTCTGGTTGAAGTAGTCTGCAGTGCCTTTCATGTTCCTTGATTCGTGTTTGGGACCACACCAACAACCACCATGTCAGACTACAGGGAAATGGTCTACAGCAGGGGTCCACAAACTTTTTAAGCCGAGGGCCAGGTCACAGTCCCTCAAACTGTTGGAGGGCCGGATTATAATTTGAAAAATAAAACATGAATTCCTGTGCATGCTGCACATATCCTTATTTGTAGTGTAAAAAACACTTAAAACAATACAATAATTAAAATGAGGAACAATGTTAACAAATATAAAATTATTAGTATTTCAATGGGAAATGTGGGCCTGCTTTTGGTTGATGAGATAGGATTGTTGTTGTTGTTATGTGCTTTCAAGTTGTTTCAGACTTAGGTTGACCCTGAGCGAGGGCCGGGTAAATGACCTTGGAGGGCTGCATCCGGCCCCCGGGCCTTAGTTTGAGGACCCCTGGTCTACAGTCTGTGAGCTATAGGAGAGGCTGTTCTGTTGAGTAGAGAGAACCAGAAGGGATCTGTAGTTTAAAAACTACAGGGAAAAGACTGGTTCTACTTAGTAAGAATCAGGGAGATTTGGGCTTTTAAGTCAAGTTGGCTTATTTATATTAATAGTTAGTGTTAAGAGTCTCTATTGTAACAGAAACATCCTAAAGAAAGAATACGCTTATAACTGAAGTAATCTATTAAATAAAGAAACACAGTTTGAAGAAAAATAAGTTTGAAACCTGTTTAGTGGAAGGAAGAGTCCTTTCCAGAGTTGTTCAAGAAAAGTTATCAATGTAACCTTTGAAGATATGTGCCTCTAAGAGTGGGAAACATCATGCTTCTTCTACATTTCAATAAACTTGTTACTGTTTTCCTAAAGCCTTGTCCCTGTTACATTTCCTTTCCAAGTTAAGTCATGCTACACAGAAGAAAGACCAAATCAAGATTATTAGATATCAATTAAATAAACCCTCACAAAGTGGTGGCTCCTTTACAAACGTTTACACATTGGTAGCAGTAATTTTATGCTTCCTCACACCTTCCAACAGAGCTTTATAATAATAATAATAATAATAATAATAATAATAATAATAATAATAATAGTTTTCTGGAGTGACTGTAGGAGCAAAAAAATAATCCTCTTCCAGTATTTTCCGTTGGTCATGGGAGTTTTGTGTGCCAAGTTTGGTTCAATTCCATCATTGGTGGAGTTCAGAATGCTCTGATTGTAGGTGAATTATAAATTCAAGCACTGCAGCTCCCAAATGTCAAGGTCTATCTGCTCCCAGACTCCACCAGTGTTCAAATTTGGGCATATTGAGTATACTTTCTGTCAAATGTGCTCTAAACAAACCCAAGTGTTTGAATTGCAGATATATAGGTTCCTTGGAGTGCTTTCGCTGCTGACATTCTCTTTGGCCTTTGAGAAGAAAGCCTCTGATTTTGCCTTCAAACCATGTTGGGTCTCATCTGGCCTTCTGGAAAGTTTGACACACCAGGTTCTGAACCCATGGATCTCGCAGAAACCAAACCCGTGGTTCTTGCAGAAGCTGAAATCACATAACACAATGGTTGTGGAACAAGGAAACTAGGTGATCTCAAAACACAAGAAGATTCAGAACATAACCCTTCAGACAAACTGAATTTGAGCCACAACTCTCAGTTGCATCTACGCTATAGAATTAATGCAGTCTGACACCACTTTAAGTGTTGTGGCTCAATGCTATAGAATCAGGTGAGTTGTAGTTTGACAAGGTCTTTAGCCTTCTCTGTCAAAGAGTGCTGGTGTCTTATCAAACTAAAACCCCCATGATTTCATGCCATTGAGCTGAAGCAGTTAAAATGGTATTTTTTTTTATCGTGTCAGGAGTGACTTGAGAAACTACAAGTCACTTCTGGTGTGAGAGAATTGGCCGTCTGCAAGGACGTTGCCCAGGGGACGGCTGGATGATTTGATGTTTTATTATCCTTGTGGGAAGCTTCTCTCATGTCCCCGCATGAGGAGCTGGAGCTGGAGCTGGTAGAGGGAGCTCATCCGCCTCTCCCCGAATTCGAACCTGTGACCTGTCAGTCTTCAGTCCTGCCGGCACAGGGGTTTAACCCACTGCGCCGCTGGGGGCTCCTTAATACCAAAAATGATATTGAAGTGCATCCATTCTACAGTGTAGATGCACCCTTAGTCACAGTGCTAGCCAATGGCGAACATTGGTCATTCTTTATTGTAATTGTTGTTTGGGCTTGGCCCCATGTAAGCCGCTCCGAGTCCCCATTGGGGAGATGGTGGCGGGGTACAAATAAAGATGATGATGATGATGATGATGATGATGATGATGATGATTGACAATCCACAGTTTGATGTAAGATCACATCCCTGAAATAGCCACTTTGTGTATGACATTTATGGGGTGGATAAAGGGAAGAGTTGCAGAATGAGTACGTGTGGGTATGAGTGACTGTGCGTGTGCATGAGCATGTATGTATATAAGGGATGAGATTGAAGACAAATATGCCACCAGTTGTCTATTGTATTTTCTCAGCAGCTCCATGAGTGCATACTCTGTTCTCTGGCAAAATCCAACACAGAGGGACAAGGCACACTGAATTGTACAAAGGACAATTGTTACTTGGTATTATTCCCTAAAAGGGACCATAGTGACCCAGTCATTCTCATTCCCTCCTCAATGTCTCAGGCTTTGGAAGAATGAACTTGCTGCTCACTGCCACATCCTCTTCTCCATCTGGGATAGAAAGGCAGAATTGCAACTGGAAGATCTAGCCTTGTGTGAATTCTGCAACACAAATGTGACTCTGGGAGACCCAAACATCCCTTTTACCTGACTTTTCAGTGCATATTAACACTGAACACCAACTAGTCTTTCTTAATTGCATTTTGGGTGCATCTATACTTAAGAATCAGTGCAATTTGACTCCAGTTTAACTGCCATGGCTCAATCCTATGGAATTCATAGTTTGATGAGGCAGCAGCCCTCTTTGGCAGAAAAGGCTAAAGACCTTGTAAAACTACAACTCATAGAACCATAGATTTGGAAGAGACTTTGTGGGTCATCCAGTCCAACATTCAAAGCACCCTCCAAAGAGGGAGCCTCCACCCACCACGCTCCAGGACAGAGAGTTCCACTGCTGAACCGCTCTCACAGTTAGGAAGTTCTTCCTCATGTTCAGGTGGGATCTCCTTTCCTGTAGTTTGAAGCCATTGTTTCATTGCGTCCTTGTCTCCAGGGCAGCATAAAACAAGCCTGCTCCCTCCTCTCAATGACTTCCCCTCACATATTTATCCATGGCCCTCATCATGTCTCCTCTCAGCCTTCTCTTCTGCAGGCTAAACATGCCCAGCTCTTTAAGCCGCTCCCCATAGGGCTCTTTCTCCAGACCCTTGATCATTTTAGGCACCCTTCTATGGACACATTCCAGCTTGTCAACATCTCTCTTCAATTGCGGTGCCCAGAAGTGTTGACAGTGTGATTCCAGGTGTGGTCTGACCAAGATAGAATAGAGAGGCATTATGACTTCCCTGGATCTAGACACTAGACTCCTATTTCTGCAGACCAAAATCCCAATTGCTTGTCGTTGTTTTTTTGGTTTTTTTTTACTGTTACATCACATTGTTGGCTCATGCTCATCTTCCTGTCCAAGATTTTTTTTTCACACATACTTCTATTGAGCCAGGTACTCTGTATCTTTGCATTTTGTTTTTTCTGCCTAAGTGGAGTATCTTGCAATTGTCCCTGTTGAATTTCATTTTGTTAGTTTTGGCAAATCATCTCTCTAATCTGTTAAGATCATTTTGAATTCTGCTCCTGTCTTCTGGGGTATTGGCTATCGCTCCCAATTTAGTATCATCTGTAAACTTGATGACCATGCCTTCTAACCCTTCATCTAGGTCATGAACAAGGATCCTGAACAGAACCAGGCCCAGGTCATAACCCTGCTTATGGCACTCCGCTCATCACTTCTTTCCAGGATGAAGAGGAAGCATTGGGGACAATCACCCTTTGGGTTCATTCACTTAACCAATTACAGATCCACCTAACTCAGTGGTTCTCAACTTTCCTAATTCTGTGTCCCTTAATATAGTTCCTCATGTTGTGGTGACCTCCAACCATAACATTTTCATTGCTACTTCATAACTGTAATTTTGCTACTTTTATGAATCATAGTGTAAATATCTGATATGCAGGGTGTATTTTCATTCACTGGACCAAATTTGGCGCAAATACCTGATACACAAATTTGAATACTGGTGGGGCTGTGAGGGCTTGATTTTCTCATTTGTTGGGCACTGACCTTGAGTTTTGGAGTTGTAGTTCATCTACATGCAGAGAGCACTGTGGACTCCACCAATGATAGATCTGGACCAAACTTGGCATGAATACTCAATATGCTAAATACGTGAACAGTGATGGAGTTTGGGAACAAAATACCTTGGCATTTGGAAGTTGTAGTTGCTGGGATTTATAGTACATCCAAAATCAAAGAGCATTCTGAACCCTACCAATGATAGAATTGGGCCAAATTGATTTTCTCATTTGTTGGGCACTGACCTTGAGTTTTGGAGTTGTAGTTCATCTACACCCAGAGAGCACTGTGGACTCCACCAATGATAGATCTGGACCAAGCTTGGCACGAATACTCAATATGCTAAATACATACGTGAACAATTATGGAGTTTGGGAACAAAAGACCTTGGCATTTGGGAGTTGTAGTTGCTGGGATTTATAGTACACCCAAAATCAAAGAGCATTCTGAACCCCATCAATGATTGAATTGGGCCAAATTTCCCACACAGAACCCACATGACTAACAGAAAATACTGTGTTTTCTGATGGTCTTTGGCGACCCTCTGACACTCCCTCGTAACCCTCCAGGGGTCCTGACCCCCAGGTTGAGAAACATGAACCTAACCATAGTTTTGCCTAGCCCACATTGGACTAGTTTCCTTGCCAGAAGGTCATGGGGGACCTTACTGAAATCCAGATATGCTCCATCCACGGCATTCCCCGCATCTACCCAGCTTGTAACTCTATCGAAAAAAGAGATCAGATTAGTCTGGCATGACTTCTTTTTGATAAATCCATGTTGGCTAACTCCCATGATTCCATAACATTGAGAACAAAAAAAAAAATGCTAGAATAAGACCCCCTCCCCCCAATGTACTAGGGGCCAAAGCAACAGCATTTTGCACACTCCAGCCTTCGAGGGCAACAATGTCGACTGCATGCTTTGCAATAAGAAAGGTTCAGTTTTCAGACTCTGGCAACAAGAGCAGAAAGGATGGAGATCCCGAACAGGCTGGAGAGCCATGTTGTGGTAAGAAAGGGCCATCCCCCCCCCCCCCGGTTACTATAAGAGAGACTTCTCCAGTCTAAATAACCCTGTCTCTTTCTCTGCCTCTCTCATATCTATCTAGCAAACAGCTGACAGGACACCAAATAAATGGAGCCAGTTTGGCTCCATTTGAGCCGCTGCCTCTTTTGTATGCTGCTCAAAGAGCTGTTATGTTGACACTGATCTGGATTCTTTCTTTTTCTTTCTTTCCCTTTCATTCTCTGTCTCACCCATCTCTCTTTCTGTCTCTCCCCATCTCCTCTTTTTGTTATCAACCCTATTATAACATTTTAAGGATGGTTCGGAACAAAACCTATAGTATCTTATCTGCAGAGGATGCATTTCCGACTTCATGTGGATACATGAAGCAGCAGATAATAGAGAACACTATTGAATTTAAGGACTCTGGCACAAGAATGCCATACACTGAAGGATTTAGAAAATGCCCAAGGCGGGCTTATTTTGTATGGTGTGGATAAATGAAACTGAAGATACCAGAACTGTGAGTATGGCAGTTACACTGGAAGTATATACAGCATACAGAGCCAGTGCAACATGTGGTTTGAGTGTTGTGCTAGCAAACTTGGAGACCAGAGTTCAAATTCCCTCTTGGGCTACATCTACACTTCCATATAATGCTATGTAGAAGGGGCTTTGGCCAGGGGAACCCACTGGGTGACTTTGGGTAAATCCTGCTCTCGGATTTAGTGGAAGGCAATAGCAAACTCCCTCTGAACAATCTTGCAGAAAAAACCCTAGGAAAGGGTTGCACAAGTGTGCAGGTACAGCTGTACCAGGAGCTCCAATTTTGTTTGCTTTGCATTGAATGTTTGTTATAGTCCTAAGTTTCAGGGACTCTGCAGATAGGTGGCTTCTTTTGGTTGCAATCATAGGGCAAGCCACCTGTCAATTATAGTTAGGTTCCCTGGTCCCGCCCCCTTTTGGGGGTTTTGGAGGGAATAGGAACCTTTTTGGGTTCAGTCCACACAGAGAAGCTTTTCATACAGGACATAAAACCAAGAGCTCCTGTAGAAAGCTTCGTCTTCTATGGCTTGGCCGGGGAGATATATAGCCTACAGCTTGGCCGGGGAGAAAAGGCCCCATAGCTTGGCTGAGGATTTTAAAGCCTTACAGCTCCTTTGCTGAGGGACTTCAGCCAGCCATCACCTAAACCTGAACTCCTTCTTTTTCCCTGGAAGTCTACAAAGCTCTGCTTGGCAAGGGTCACTCGCGGAAGCCAGACGCAGTTGGTACCGGGTGCAGGGGCTCCACGCCAACAGAGGCAAGTACAGACTGCCCAGATTAGAAGTTAAGCATTTCCCCATTAGTTAGTATACAGTTATGAAGATAGTGCCTGTTCCCAGAGAACAAGATTGCAAGAGCC